CATGATATTGGTACGCGGTTTTTTACTTTAAACGACCATATGGACGCGACACAAGACGACAAATAAAAGAAATTATTTCAAAGAATGCACGCCAATTGTATTTCTTATTTTAGAAGAACTCTGCGTCTTTGAATCGTATACATTTACGATTTAGATGTTATAGACAATTAAATAAAAAAAATATTCTTTGATTTAAATAGACTTACCTCAACGTTTAATGCGGTACGCTGTTTAAAGTATAACACTCGCAATCTCACACATTTAGACTTAATATGATCTTATAAAAGCGCAAAACTTGAAATTTTCACCAGCTATCACTTCTTCGATTTTCTTCACACAAGGATATGAAATAACGGGATGCAAGAAACATCGATTTCGCTACTGACGGAAATGAAATCCGATACCTATTTCATTTGATGCCGCCAATTTCTATCGTATTGGCTTTAGCTTTGTTTCTTAACAAATAATTATCACAAATTATCACTAATTTCTGCTGGAAAGCGATTCTTAGCCCAAAAAACTAGCAGAAACCACGATGTAGAGAAGAAAGGTGGCGCCCATCTCGGTACTGCTATTCCACTCTCAGAGAATTTGACAGAAACGCTGTTTGTATGACGTCAAACTTGTGCACTTTGTTTACGTTTTGCTTGCAATAATAATTGCGTTTTTTACTAATTTCCAGTAAAATCCAGTAAAAGTTTTAACGAATTTTCATGTTTTAGCGTTTCGTACACAGCAGATAATTATCAGGAAGAAGAAGAATAGGAAACAATTACGCTAGCAGAGAGCGAAATAACGAAAAAGTAAAGAAACGCAAACTAGCAAATAAACAAGTGATCGGTGCATTTGATAATTTTTGTTTATTCATTTTGACAGCTGCTAGTAAAAATTTTACTAGCAAAAAGTTGCAGGAGAGCCAAACCATAATAGTGTAAGAACAAGAGAGGGCTGATAGTTTCTGCCAGTTTTTTCTGTTAAGGGCCGCTTTCCAGCAGAAACTAGTGACAATTTTTGATAGTTATCTGTTACCAGCCGTCTTCACGTGCTCGAAAATTCCACTTGCGTGACGACACATATACTTATCTGAATGCAAAAATCAAATAAATTTATACTTACATCTTTCTGAATATTTTCGTTTTTGTGCCATAGCAATGATAAAAAATATTTAAAACATCAAAAAATCGTTGTTCACTTAATTGCTCGCTCAAATATATTTGACTGTTCAATTTAGGTTGAAAAGTATGCTCGCAGAAAATCTAAATTGTTCCTATTCACTGCGTTACCGACACTTTCCAATGGTTTAGGATTTTTCTCTCTCTCTTACCGACTCTCTCTCTCTCTTATAACCCTTACTAAGTAGAACTCTCCTCTCTGTGTTGCCGGAAAAGAGTGGACAGAAGTATTTTTGTACAGAACTGCTCTCTGCATAGGCGGCTTTCGGCCGCGCTTAGGGATTATAACCCTTAACAGAGAACGTCTATGAATGAGAAGGCGCATTTTCTGTGTGAACTAATTTCTGCCAGAAATTTTGGGGTGCAGTCGGCCAAATATACCACTCGTCGACAAAGTGCACCGCTCGACCGACGGTGTCGGTGCCCTTACTAAGTAGAGTTCTCCTTTCTGTGTTGCAGAAAAAGAAGGGAGGAAGTACTTTTGCGTAGAACTTCTCTCTGCGTAGGCGGCCTTCGACCGCGCTTAGGGATTATAACCCTTACTAATTAGAACTCTCCTTTCTGTGTTGGCGGAAAAGAGGGATAGAAGTATTTTTGCGCAAATCTTCTCTCTGCGTAGGCAGCCTTCGGCCGCGCTTACAGGCTAACCTAATATTCGCGGCTTGCGTTTTGGTACGCACGCCGTAGAATTTTTTGTTTTTCGTCACCCGAAAATGGCTTGCGTGCGTTTGCATTTGATTTCATTGAGCGAAATGTCAAATCAAAATGTCACGCAGAACAAAAATTGGAAATTGAGTTAGCTTCATACGCGCGCCGTTCAATTTCGGTTGGTCGCATACAAGTTGTATGTGCATGAGAAATTTTTTACAGTAAATTGGCGGCGTGCGTGAATATTAGGTTAGCCTGTTAGGGATTATTTCCCTTTCTAAGGGCCGGTTACTCAATGTCTGGTTAACACTAATCTGCGGTTAAACATCGTTATCGACGTCTTCGACTCCATGCGGTAACGTCGATAACTATGTTTCACCGGAGATTAGTGTTAACCAGA